CGGACGCGTCGCTCGAAGGATGGGGCGGGGTCCTCGGCCAGAGCTCTGTAGGAGGCTGCTGGTCGGACTCAACCCGTCACATCAACCTGCTGGAGATGGAGGCAGTGCACAGAGTACTGCTGCACTTTGCTCCTCAGCTGCAGGGGAGACACGTGATGGTTCGCTCAGACAACACCACAGTGGTCTCCTATCTGAACAGGCACCAGGTCCCCCGCTCTCCATCGCATGGCGACAGTGACGCTGCTGTGGGCGGCGCTTCACCTCCTGTCTCTCAGGGCGCGCCACGTCCCGGGGGTCCGGAACGTGGGGGCCGACAGGATGTCCAGGGGGGGCCCGCTCCAGGACGAGTGGGGCCTGGCCCCGCGGGTAGCTGCGGAGATCTGGCGGAGGTTCGGCCGGCCAGTGGTCGACCTTTTCGCCAGTGCAGAGAACGCACAGTGCCCGTCCTGGTTCGCCTTAAGGGCCGCGGACGAGCCGCCCTTAGGCGTGGACGCTCTGGCTCATTACCCCTGGCCAGGCGGCCTGCTGTACGCTTTCCCACCGGTGCGTCTCCTGCCGGTCCTGCTGCGGAGGATCGAACAGGAGAGGAGGTCGGTGATCCTGGTGGCTCCGGACAGTCCGCATGCCCGGTGGTTCCCCTTCCTGAGGGGCATGGCGGTGATGGAGCCCTGGGCCCTCCCGGACGAGCCGGGGGCTCTAGTCCAGGGGGGAGGAGCCCTGTTTTCACGCCCGATAATCGGCCGCAGGCTCCGGGTTTGGAGGCTGAGAGGCGGAGCCTCGTAGACCTGGGTCTTCCCCCTGCGGTGGTGGAGACCATTCAGGGGGCGAGGGCGCCGTCCACTGTGAGGGCCTACGCCACGAGGTGGAGGCTCTTCAGTGTCTGGTGCGGTTCCCGTTCCTGGGATCCCAGGCGTTGCCCGCTGGAGGGGGTCCTGGGATTCCTGCAGGAGCTCTTTGACAAGGGGAGGGCTGTCGCCACCTTGGCGGTGTTCGCGGCAGCCATTACTTCGGGTCACGACGGATTCGGGGGGTTCACAGCCCGCTCTCATCCGTTGGTTAAACGTTTTCTGCGGGGGGCGCGCAGGAGGAGGCCCCCGCTCCAGAGAACGCCCCCGGTTTGGGACCTCAGGGTGGTCCTTAGGGGGTTGTCGAGTCCGCCTTTTGAACCGGCGGCGGAGGCGAGTCCCGAGTGTGTCGCTTTTAAGACGGCCCTCTTGCTGGCGTTGGCGTCTGCTAAGAGGGCGGGCGATTTGTGTGCGCTCTCTGTCCATGCGTCTTGCCTGTCCTTTGGAGAGGGCGACGGCATGGTGGAATTGTGGCCCAATCCGGCTTTTCTCCCCAAGGTCATCACGTCGGCCTTTAGGTCGAGAGTCATCAGGATTAGGGCTTTCTATCCGCCACCGCATGCCTCCCCCGAGGAGGAGCGGCGGCACCTTCTGTGTCCTGTCAGAATGCTGAGGCATTACCTGGCCATGACCTCGTCATTCAGGTTGGGTGGTCAGCTGTTTGTGTGTCTGGGCCCCAAGAACAGGGGCGCCCCGCTGTCGGCTCAGCGGCTGGCGCACTGGGTCGCCACGGCTGTGCGGCGGGCGTATCAGTCGCAGGGTCTGGCCCCCCCGGTGGGCTTCAGGTCGCATTCCACGCGTGGGATGGCGGCCTCTACGGCCCTTCTCAGGGGGGCGTCGGTCGAGGACGTCTGCCGTGCGGCTTCTTGGGCGTCGTCCTCCTCTTTCGTCCGGTCTTATCTTTTGGATGTGTCGGACCGGTCGGTGGCCCATTCCGTGCTGAGTGCAGCGGACTGAGTTAGACCGTTAGGTCCCTCTTCTGAGGGGGCCTTCGGTTTATTTCCGCCCTGGTTCAGGAGCTCTTGGGAGAGGCATCCTACAGGTGCGGTATGTATATGTGTGTTTGATCGGTCTGGTAGTCTACATCAGGAGCTCTTGGGAGAGGCGTCCTGTGACTACGGATGACATACGATCTGTGTTACGTGGGGGCGTCCTTGGTAGGAGTGGCCCTGTAACACGCTTTGTTTCTTCTGCCCTGAGTCCTTTCACAGTGTGAGGGTCTTGCTCGGGCGGAGCTCCAATCACCCTTCGCTGGCCTGCTGGGAGTACATGTTCCTACGGCCTCCGCGTTGTGTCCCACTAGCGAAGTCCTAAGGGACGTAGCACCATGGCGTAGAATTAATAGTTACCTAATGTAACTTAAGTTCTACGAATAGGTGCGTAGTCCCTTAGCTACAAGCCCATCAGGCCAGCCCGGCTTGGCAGAGTTCAAGAGGGGGTGCGGCCTTGTGCAGGGGCATTTATAGAGGAAGGTGGCTGGTGATTGGAGCAAATTATTTTGATCTCTCTGGCGTGTGACCTGGGGGTCACGAGTGATATCCCACTAGCGAACTAACTAACTTCGTAGAACTTAAGTTACATTAGGTAACTATTAATTATCCCAGTGGGGGTAGGTCCCAGCTCAAAAGTGACCAAAATGACGTGCGCTGCATAGACTTATAAAGAGTAGACGCCGCATCTATCGCTACTGTCTATTGACGCCGACCATAGAATGTATATATTAACGGACAGAGTCACGCCTATCTCCGCCGTTCTAACTAATGGGCCAAAAAATGTGCCCTACTGGAGCTATCCAAAATGGCCTCGAGTGGTCCCACCCACAAGAACATTGTGAAAAAACGCATCTGCGCATGCGTCAGCCGGTGTTCTGTCGAGTTGGTCTGCCGTCGAGATGATCTGGCTCAGCTGTTAATGATGTAATGCAAACCTGCGCATGCGCGTCTCACGGCAGCCGGAGCAATCCAAGATGGCGGACATGTAGTCCGCGAATTGCTTTAAAAGTTTAATACAAACGAATTAAGACACGAATGTCACTTTTAATGCAATTTGAGGCGAGATGTTGATAATAATGCATCGGTTTTATATAGCGCTTTTTTGAACACTCAAAGACACTTCACATGTGTCATTATTCATTCACTCCATACACTGTGGTGATAAACTACTACTGTAGCCACAGCTGCCCTGGGGCACACTGACAGAAGCGAGGCAACCAGTCTGCACCATCGGCCCCTCCGACCACCACCAACCATTCATACACACACCAGACTCATTCTAGGCAATGGGGGGGAAGTGTCTTGCCTAAGGACACAACGGCAGTTTGGCACTTTACAGCCGCCCCACTGTGACTGGTGTTCCCAGAGGTTAAGTATCTTGCCAAGGACACAACGACAGTAATGGTGGTGGATGGTGAAGGTCTTGAGTGGGGCTTGAACCCACGACCTTCTGGCTCAAAGGCCAACGCTCTACCAACTGAGCTACTGCCGCCCTTGATGGTTCTACATTGTAATATGTGTGTTTTAAGAGTAAGAGTTTCGTGTAAAGTTTGTTTTAAGCAGTCCACTGCTCCTGTGAAACTACACTGCTGCTGTGTGATCGCAGTCCCTGAGTTGACTGCTGCATACGTCAGGCCCATGACGCGTCCTGTGACTGGTCTGTCGGGTTGATAATGGAAAAAATAAATTACATTTTATGCATGTATCATGCTGTATTCAATATGATTAATAATAGTGTGTTCAAACGAAATATTAAATTAGACTGAGTTTTTTCCCCATTCTGGCGGGTTGCTGCGCATGCGCAAGTCAGATTTGGGCACACTAGCAGTGTAGTTTCACAGGAGCAGTGGACTGCTTAAAACAAACTTTACACGAAACTCTTACTCTTAAAACACACATATCACAACGCGGAACCATCAACATCTCGCCTCAAATTGCATTAAAAGTGACATTTGTGTCATTTGGCTGCCGTGAGACGCGCAGTGCTGGTTTGCATTACATCATTAACAGCTGAGACAGATCATCTCGACAGGCAGACCAACTCGACAGAACACCGGTGTAACGCCGAGATACACTGTCTTGAAGAGATGCACTGCCTCAGCTGTTTATGATGTAATGCAAACCTGCGCATGCGCGTCTCACGGCAACCAAAGCATACCAAGATGGCGGACCGTGAATTGCTAAAAGTTGAAATACGAACGAATCAAGACACGAATGTCACTTTTAATGCAATTTGAGGCGAGATGTTGATGGTCCCGTTTTGTCACATGTGGGTTTTAAGAGTCAAAGTTTCGTGCAAAGTTTAGTTTAAGCAGTCAACTGCGCCTGTGAAACCACAAAGCTAATGTTTTCATAGCAGTCCGCGGCTGCTGACGTAGGCCGATGACGCGTCCTACACTGGTCTGTCGGGTTGATAATGGAAATAATAAATTTCATTCAATACATGTATCGTACTGTATTTAATATGACTAACAATAGTGTGTTCAAACAAAATATTTAATTAGATTGATTTTTTTCCCCATTTTCCATTATCAACCCGACAGACCAGTGTAGGACGCGTCATCAGCCTACGTCAGCAGCCGCGGACTGCTATGAAAACATTAGCTTTGTGGTTTCACAGGCGCAGTTGACTGCTTAAACTAAACTTTGCACGAAACTTTGACTCTTAAAACCCACATGTGACAAAACGGGACCATCAACATCTCGCCTCAAATTGCATTAAAAGTGACATTCGTGTCTTAATTCGTTCGTATTTCAACTTTTAAAGCAATTCACGGTATGCTTCGGTTGCCGTGAGACGCGCATGCGCAGGTTTGCATTACATCATAAACAGCTGAGGCAGTGCATCTCTTCAAGACAGTGTATCTCGGCGTTACACCGGCGAGAGCTCCATTCATTTGAGACTTCAAAAATTCACAGCAAGTAAACTAGAGTGTGTGGTAAGGAGCGGAGTCGGAGGCGGTGTGTCAAACAGCGGTGACAAACGTACACGTTTTAATGCCATAAAACAGCCAGTGTTAACAAAACTCCTCACACAACCAAAAACATTTCTCTAGGTAAGAAAACTGTGCAACGGTCCCACTCGTCCACCCGGAACCCCACCACAGTTCCATGGGTGAATTATGTAAACCACCACACAAGCCCCCCCAGAATTCAACCATAGTCAAAATCCCCACTCCGGAATGGAATGATGGCCCGACCACTCCGAGTACAAGTGGCAGGGGCTGAGGGGAGGGAAGCGGGGGACGCAGCCAGCACCGTCCCGGTCGAAGGAACTCCCGACTGGCCAGGAGGACAAAGTACTGGGGGGCGTCCGCGGCGTGGGGCCTGGGCCAACACCAACGGTCTGGAAATGTCCACATGAGCAGGCTTCAGGGTTGGACCGAAGGGCCGATGCCCAAATTTGGGCCGGTCTGCCTGACCCATAAAAAAAAAAAAAAAAAGTAGTTTTTATTGACGCTGATGGAAACAAAGACTCAAAGTGGCCCATTGGTTGATTTTCCTGAGGACGTTGGGCTAGTCCAATGGAATCTCTCTGCTCTGCTGGCCGGCCCCGCCCCCAGTGCCCAATTGCTATTTGGCCTCAAGCAGAGGTGAGTCGTGTCAATTTAAAATGGATTTTAAAATAACAAAGTCAAAGGGAGGAGCGGAGAAGCTCAGGGAGACACAGAAAATTAAATTAAAAGTGGATGCAGCGAAATGTGCGAAAATTACGGACATTTTTGCAACAAGTTTGGGAAGGGCTGGTGGTGGGCCGGCATCAAACGAACCAGCCCCGGGGCCATCTAGTCACCAGCTGGTTGTCGGAGCAGCAGGTGAGCCGGAGGAGGAGGAGGCGGACACGAAGGAGGAGGAGGAGGAGGAGAGAGACGTGACCCAGCTGCAGAGACAGACTGAGACTGAGGTCAGAATTCTGCGTAAATCTCGCTAGTGTCTAACTGGATAATAAGAATAAGCCTGTTATAGCTATGTTAGCAATTAGCATTAGTGGTTTGCTATAACAAACAGCAATAGTTTTGGGGTTCGTGGCCATCTGAATAGCTACCACCAGCCCGGTAAGGCTGAGTAGAGAATTAGAGTTAATGGAGAATTCCCTGTGGAATCCACAATAAAAGATGTTTTACTACGTTTTACTAGATGTTTTACATCTAGCACACTAAACAGTATGGGGAATTATTTTTTATAAGTATGCACGCTTGCCTAAGAAATTATTACAGGATTTGTTTTGTAGAAACTATAACAGGACTGAAGCACATTTCAGATCAATCTTATCTGACATATTTTCTATTATAATAAGTAATAGAAGTGTTTACGTGAGACTGCACTGCTTTTGTTTACTTTTGTTTACTTGTTTAATGCACTAGCATTCGAAAGCTTTAATAATTTCATGCTTAAAAAATACTGACCATAAATACTACCAAACAACAATAAACATTTACACTATTATTTTATAATTACTCTCACAGAAATACATTTTAAAGTATGTGACTTTATTGCCTTTTAATTTTGAGCTAACAACTTTTTTCTTAGCTCTGTTAGTATTAGATAGCAATATGGCCTACGTGCAGGACTGTACAAGGACTCTCATTATTTTGACTATGATTTGCACTCTCTCTGTGTGACACGTACGTCTTTCGATGTTGTGTACTGACTTCATTCTGTCTGAGAGAAAGAAACAATTGAAACAACTGGAACTTGAGAGAAACTTAAATAAACTTCCAGAGTTTGGCGCACCACGATCTGTCTCTGTCCATTGAGAAAAGTCTAGGGGTATGATTCTCGCTTGGCGTGCGAGAGGTAGCGGGATCGATGCCCGCATCCTCCACCAAATCTGTCAGGAATGAAGCAGACAGAGACGGATCGTGGTGCGCCAAACTCTGGAAGTTTATTTAAGTTTCTCTCAAGTTCCAGTTGTTTCAATTGTTTCTTTCTCTCAGACAGAATAAAGGCAGTACACAGTTTATATAGTCATTGTCACGTCACACATCGAAAGACGTACGTGTCACACAGAGACAGTCACATCATAGTCAAAATAATCAGAGTCCTTGTACAGTCCTGCACGTAGGCCATATTGCTATCTAATACTAACACTACAGTTTTGTGCACAACCCTTCTGTTGGTAATTTGGAGGTGTGTGTGTGTCTGCGTGTGCGTGCGTCAAATAATGCTTTGAATAGATTTAGTGTCCAACTTACAGTGTTAAGTTTGTTTAAGTACTTGTGAAATATTGCATTGCTTAAATTGATGACTAATAATTAATGACAAGTGAAAATAGTGACACTTATTTCCTTGCCTCTCTCTTTCTTTGTGTTTAGTCAAGCCACAATGTTGAGATGGGAGTGGAGGAGTCACAGGAAGTTTTAGACTTTTTTTGCTGCCCTCATTCCACTAAGAGGCAGGAATTCTTTGAGTTTCACCCTCAACAGGATGCCACAAACCCTATTGTCCAGAGGCTTTTCAAATCAACGTGTGACAAGGAATGGAAATGGCTGAGTTATTGTGGCCAACGTCATGCCTTATTTTGTTTTGTTTGCCTTGCATTTAGCAAGCCTACTGACCCTAGTGCGTTCGTTAGAGGCATGGCAGACTGGAGGCATGTGCACCAAAGAATACAGGAGCATGAGAGAGGCATGGCACATAGACAATGTGCTGAAGCATATATTTTAAACAGCTCGAATACAAGCATTGATCACCTCCTTCAGGGAAGACAGCTGGCAGGACACCGTGAGCAGGTTAAGAAGAGGCGTGAGGTTTTGGAACGTGTAGTGGAGGTTGTAAAGGTCATAGGGAAGTGAGGCTTAAGCTACAGGAGTGAGCACCATGAAGCTGCATACACCTTTGACAACGACAGTCATGACCATGGCAATTTATTAGAGCTAATTATATTGTTGGGGAAATATGATGTGCGCTTACAAGAGCACCTAAACAGTGTAATAGCTAAAAGCAAGCAGATTCATGCATCAGGCACACAAGGCAGATACTCTCTGTTGACCCTCCTGTCCAAAACAACTGTAAATGCAGTAATTGAAGCATTCAATTTGATGCAACTCAAGATATTGCAGGAAAAGAACAGTGTTCTGTGGTTTTGAGGTATGTTACAGATGCAGTCCATGAAAGGCTGGTTGCAGTCATAACATGCAGCTCAACTACTGGACAGTCATTTGTGACTCTGTTAACTGAAGTCCTTGAGCGTCTGAAATTGGACATAGGTCTGTGCATCAGCAACTCCACTGATGGAGCCTCTAATATGCAGGGTCAATACAGAGGTTTGTTTTGTGTGTGGTGCTATGCACATGTCCTGAACCTTTTGTTGTCTGATACCACCCATCGTGTCATTGAAAGTGGATCACTTTTTGATCTGCTAAATGACATTGCTGTGTTCATCAGGGAATCATACACAAGAGAGTGTGTGGGAAAACGAGAGCCAGGACCAGAGGCACAAGCGCCTTTCACCATTTGGACAGACAAGATGGTGGGCCAAACATGATGCCCTGAGGAAGGTTTTTGGATGTTTTGGTAGACCTGATGGCGGCCTTTTTGTTGAAGTGGTATCCACACTCTCTGCCATAATGGATCTGTAAAGACTTCCATCCAATGTACGAAACAAAGCCAGAGGATACCGAGACAGTATGAAACTGTGCTGACAGCTCAATTATTCCTCCGCATATTTTGCCGTTTTTCCAGTGTCGGTTCAGTTCATTTCGGTACAGTACGGCGCACCTATTTTGCTTTTCCACTAGTGGATGGAATGGGAGATTTGAGTACTTTTCCGTACTGCCTCAGCCGTGGTTCCATCCCCGTGTTACCCGTGCCATGACGTCACGCCGGCCTACTGCCTTACACTGATTGGTCAACGAGTGTCGTCACTGGAAGCGGCATCTGATCCTTTGGGAAAAACAACTCAACCGCCATCTTTAAAACAGGCTGCTCTGCTCGGCTCTGCTTCGGCTACATTACGTCCTTCTCACTCCAGAGAAATGGAATTGCACAGAAAGCCCCAAAAGTCCTGGTCCTGGTCGGTGGAAGAGGTCCACACGTTCCTCTCTTCAGGCCAAAGAAATAATTCAAAGGCAGCTCGAGGCTCAACACAGTTTTCAGGGAGATCACCAGCTCTGGATTTGTTACTAGTCTGTGGTAATCCTGAAATAACTGGTTAGCTACGAACCCCCTAAAGCTCTCACTGAAATGTATTTACTGTGTACATGTTTGATTGTCTGTTGTACACAGTGAGCTAGCTACATTTAGCTTCATTTAGCTATCGATAGCAGCTAAGCTAACGTCCTCCCTGTGCTACTGTGCTTTATCTCGTATTATCTGCAGTATTCACGTGTTGTCATTCTGTTTTGTGCTTGTATTTAAGCTGGCGTGTGTATATTTGTATGAGAATCCCTTCCCATAAGTGTGGAGATTACCAACGAGTAATGAGTGACCGGAGTATTCTGGTCTGGACCTGGTCTGGACCTGGTCTCACACATACGTACTTTTGACTTTGTAAACTCTGTTGGTTTTGCACTTTACTTTTGTTTTCAATAAATCTGTGATTGTATCAAGACTGTGTTTCATTCATTTATTATTATTGTAGCTGAGGTTTGGGTATCGATTGTTTGTCTGGTCTCGGAGTCTGCTGTAGTCCGGACCCGAGTCCGGACTAGCCTAGCTTAGCCTAGCTTAGCCGCTAACTCGCTACCCCTATGGCTGCCGCTGTCTCTCCCTCGGTCCTTTACTGCTCGAGTTGCCATATGACGAGTTTAAACCCCGGATTCTCCTCTGAGGGCAGTGATAGATGTGTTAAGTGTAGTATTGTAGTAGCTTTGGAATCCAGGGTTAGTGAGTGAGCAGAGTCTCGAGCTAGCGCTAGCATTAGCTATAGCCTAGCAGTATCCTCGGACATGCAGCCCTCCTCCTCTGCTACACAGGCTGCTGTTGCTACAGGTCCATTCAGATTGTACAGAGCAGTCAGCACCATTGACTTCACAGTTTCTGAGTCATTCTTTTAAGACATAAGCATTTTCAAAAACTACTCGTGCTGTGCTGAATTTTCTATTAAACACTTGCTCTGGTATTATAATAAATCCATGCACCGCACCAGTACTAGTTACGCGTCACACGTAAATGACGTGGTCTGACAACGCTGAGGACATACTGGGGGTACTATTTTTGATGGAAAAGCACGCGAACTGGGCCATGGCGCGCCGAGTCAAAACGTACCGTACTCGGACCGTGGAAAAACGGCATTTGAGATCACCTCACCACTCTCAAAATACTTGCAGACCAAAGGAATGGACATCCTCTCAGCACATAGAATGGTAATTACAACACAGGAATCA